AATTTTGGAAGGAGGCTTTCATAAATCTAAAGCCAATTCAAAAAAAAAAAAAAAAAAAGGGAGGGGGGGGTTGACTCGTTAACCTGCTATTGGTCAAACTTTGCAAACGGTAACTCTTCTCAGAACCACAACACTGAAGGAAGATAAAAATATCTAATTTATTTAGAGGAGAAAAACATATCAACTGATGCAACTCTGCAAACATAAAGTAAGGGTTGAGGTTAGGAACATTTATGTGGTTGTAAAACAATAACAAAACCTTCATGAGATCAATTAAAACCTCAAACCGACTGCTCAAGTGTGAGCATCTAGCAATAAATAAATAAATAGTTTTGCCTCTTCCCTTATTTAAATGAGACAAAAAAAAATATTAGTTACCACTCTTCTTGTCTGACAATACTTTACAGGCAGTGTGATGCAAAACAACCCTAGCGATGAAGAGCAAACTTTACCAAGTGCTGAAATTTGTGTTTTCTTGTGTGTACTTTTGAGGATTTGTAAAGTAAACATGTTCAACTATTTATACTTTCATCTGTGCGTTGCATTTACGTTTAGGTGCCAAAAGCCTTTGGATCCATTCAGCTGCTCTTTAGAGGATGAATATCTTAATAACTTTTTGAATAATCTTCCCACATCCTGGACAGGGAGCCTGGAACTTATGTAACCTCCGTGCACATGGGAAACATGTGAGCAGGTGAGCCGTTCGTCCGTGGATTATATTACCATTACGCGGTCTCACCCGACACAGCTTGCAGGGCTCCAGCAGCGCCTCCGGTCGAATATCTTGGACCTCCATGCCAAGACTTTCCTGGCTTTCCCCCTCTGAGAGCTGGCCGTGCTTGTGGAAGCCAGACGGGCGCGGCCCTTTGCCTCTACTCATACCTGCTGTGGGAATCGGTCGGTCAGCTGTGGAGTGTGAGGGCAGGATGACTGGGTCTGAGACCGTCCTGCTGCAGTCTGGAACATCGATGCCCGTGTCGCTGTCGTCTTCTTCGTCGTGGGCAGAGAGAGAGCTGCACGCTGGGATGTCGGGGACGGAGAGAGAATGAGCCAGCCGGGGCACGTCCTTGTACCAGTTTTTTCGTAGAGCCCAACAGCGAACGCAGTACCGCTGGACAGGTATGTTGTATTTCCTGCACTCTGTGCACTGCCATGCATCCTGAGGAATGAGACAGCACACAAAGTCAAGTCTAGTTCCTTGACAATGAACTTAACAAAAAGGTAAAAACACAGATCTTGCATGGAGATGCACACCTGTGTGGAGATCTCTGTATCAGTGTCATCACTCAGACACTGAGAGTCTTCATCGGGTTCTTCTTGCATCTAAAAAAAAAAAAGTAAAAGTAAATAAGCTAAGACAACTGTGTCTTCCATCTTCTTATATTAATGTACTGTCTTCCATCTTGTCCTCTCCTCTGGTTTTTACTGGTCTAAAAACAGACATCCAGCTCGTCATTCCAGAGCTACAATCTAAAGAAACACCTCCAGATGAAAACCTTTGAAGAAAATCTACATTAAACAAGGAAGCTGCATACATAATACACTGAATAAATATTGGAACTAAACGTGGCCAGAGTGCATCTTCACTGGTTCCTATGAAAACTAAAACGCAGAATGGATTGGCGAAGTCCAAAATAAACTACTTGCCTCTCGGTCTGACTTTTCCTCCTTGCCTCCTCCATAATCATCATCAACAGAACCTTCTTCTCCTCCACTTCCCTCTTCTAGCGCCGCTTCCTTCATCTCCACACTCACTTGCTCACTCTCGCCCTCTGTCAGAATCCACAAGTCTTCTGTTGTGTCTGACACGATGGCTGTGTCCTCCTCCTGTGCAAGAGACAGCTGATTCATCAGTCAGACTACCACCCACTGTCAGAAAACGATTTGTCTTCAAAATAAATGCGCACCATCAAAAATGTAGAACAAAATGAAACTATTAAAACCTTTATTTGTCTACAACAAATAATAAGAAAAACATTTTGACCGATTTCCTAATGTACAGTTGCTGCTTTAAAGCAATATTTGTAATGAGAGACAGACTGGAGAAAATCCAATGTTTTTCTGAGCAGTGAACACGCCATATGCAAGCGCTACCAGGTCTCTTGAACAACTGTCTGTGTTGACAACACTGTTACTGGCTCAAAATTGACCACTCATCAACAGTGAGACTTGTTTTATATAGACTGCTCTCGTACATCATTACACCGAACACATTTAACAGTTCACAGCTGAAAGGCTCAAATAAAAATAAAAATGGAAGAAATCTGAACCAACTAACATAAGAATATCAGCACCGTACATGCTGTACCAAGTCAATTTGAACTCCAATGACTGTATAAGAGACAAGCAGATCATCATGATGGTGTTAGAAATGCACATTATGTTAGAAGATTGGTTTTGAACTGAGAAAAAAATTATTTCTTAAGTACTCTCTTCATTATGTTGATCAACTGGCAAATTAAATAATTATTTCTAAAGTAAGTTTGTCTATTTTTGTATTAAGCATCATCAACATTTTTGCAATGCCTCAAGTTTCAAACAGGTTATTTTTTTCCTCACTACTGAATCTGTTGTCTTTCCATATTTTACCATTTATTTTAAATGTCAAAGTGTACAAACACATGAGGTCTCTTACTTGGTTTGTATGGATGTCAGTGGAGCCATTGCTCCTGCGGCTATAGTTATTACGCAGATTACCCAGAAACCACCAGGGCAGACCAGAGAGGTCCCACTCTTCCAGCGTGACATCCAGTTTGGGACGCTTGCAGGCTGAGCGAGGCAGGCCTTCAAGAGACTCTGTAGAAGTTTTGAACAGTTAGCTTGTGCTTTCTGGACCTGGTTCCGCTGAGGCGTTCTGATGCCGCATGCTCACCATCGTCTGGATCACGAGGTCGTCTCTGAGAGGGGGTCGGCAGAAGAGGCCCATCATTTCCGGCCACCACTCCTGCTTTGACCACACCCTCACATATCTAAAGAGAAGGGAAACATGAGGGGAAAAAAATTACACCACAGATCCATAACTAGATCCTTGGAGGACTCACAGCTCCTTTTCAAGATGGCCTCAGAGAATTGGGGAGGTAGTAAAAAAGAATGAAAGGTAGAGGACTTAGGACAAGGAAAGGCTTAATTCATAATTTGACTATAACTTTAAATTTAAACAGCAAGTGTTGGTAAAACAAAGAGAAGATTGAAAAACCAGTGCTCCAATTAAAATACAAATAAATATTCTGCAATTTCTCCAAGTAGTGCTGCTTGCAATTTTCAGAATTTATTGTATTTACATAAATGTGCAATCTAAGGAAACAGGACAGGAAACAATATACTACATTTCTTTTTTTAAGAGTAAAAGTACATTCATAGTGGGATAGAAGCGTCTGCATGTTTCACATATTTTAGAACTGTTTTATGTCACAGCTTCAAGGAGAGAGAGAAACAGAAGTCAAAAGACAAATCATCTGAAATTTGATCATCATGAATAAACTACAAATACATAAATCTCTTTGATTTACAAAGCTGAAAAGAACTAATACCAGATTAATTATGTTAAAAGTAGCAGGGCAATTTATCTACAATTGGATTTTTCTGGGGAACAGGAAGAATGGCACACAGGAACAGGAAGGCGGGTAGGCTTAGCATTATTAGGCCTGTACCTGAGCAAGAGCTGAGAGCCTCCAAACTGAAGCAGAGAAAAGAACTCTGAGACAGACAGAGACAGTGACTCTGCCCCCCCCCAATCCACTGGGTGGAGCTGGTGGGTCACAAAAGAGTGCTGGAAGTACCACCAGACCAAACCAAGGATGGGGTCGTACAGAGACGGTGCCACTCTGTACAAATGTACACCAACGAAGACAGCAGACCGTCTCTCACTCTCCTCAGTGCACACAAGCAGAAGGAAGCTTCCTTTACTTTACCAAAACTTGGTAGGAAACGGTTCATAATTTATCTTTAGGAAGAGATGCAAACAGCTGTACAGGAAGCCTGTGAGTCCCTGACTCACGTTTAGGAGTATTGTGTGCAGTGAGGTGAATAAGGTCTCTGTTTCTCCTGAGCACCATGCTTCGGCTTTACCTGACCACGATCCTCCACTCCGCCCTCTACACACTCACGGCCCACAGAAAGATTCTCTGCAGCGTCTGCATTTCAAATGAGACACAGTAACAAACAAAAGGACACCCCCCTTTTAATCATACGAGTACACACTCTCTCACTATGGGCTTCAGATATGTGGAGCCTCTTCACTCGATTTGAAGAACAAGCTGGACAACATTTCTTCTGGCCCAAAAGAAAACCCCTGCATCCTTATGTGATGCAAAAACTCTAAGGTATGCTTTTCTTCCCCCCATTTTCTTAAAAGAGAAAACAATATGTAACAATGTGGAAAAAAAAAATGTCCTTGTATTCCCACATTAGTTCTCACAAAATATGCCGCAACATACAAATAAAAAATGGAGATTCGTCAGACAAAATATTCAAAAATATAGAAAGGATTTCAAGCAACAAACAGAGTAATCACTTACCACTACAGCCAAGCACAATCAAGTACTTCTTCAGCATTTCATACACTGGGCTGTAAAATGAGTCAATTACAATTAGTTTATGTAAAAAAATATATATACATATTAAAACAGTTTTCTATCCATAAGAGCAAGGAAGTTATGAGTAAAGGTAAATACCTTGGATTTTTGACAGAGAAGCTTTCAACTTCCAGAAGTTCACCCAAAGGATCATCCTGGCAATGGACAATGTGCTGCCTCTGTTTGTCATACAGTTGCTTCCCCATGATATATTGACCCAGATAGTGCATCACCTAAACAAATTAAAGGATAGATGCTGATTTTTTTCATTGTGTGCTGGAGGTGAACTTTTCACCCTCTTTGAGGCCCAAAACTTAAATATACAGCATTAAACCAACTTCACTCTCACAAACATCATAAAAGTGTATGAAAATTACTTTTTTTAACCCTTAAACCATCATAGTTTATGCAACAGAATTTACACAAATCACAAAATTTATTTTCTATAAAGAGTAAAAGTCAGATGTGGTATTGTAATGTTGCAATCAGCTGATTGCAGTTCAACAAAGGCCTGTTAAGACTGAAATCAGCTGGGCTGAAGGAAGGAAATATGTAAAACATGCAGGGTAGTGTGCCTTGAGGACCAGGGTTGGGAAACACTACTTTAACATGTCATAAAGTCTTCACTAAGTGATCATTAAACGTTGTGAAAATAAAAATATAAACAAAAAGAAAATTTTGTTTATAAATCCCATTCAGGATGTTGCTAAATAGGAATCTAAAGATATGTGTATCCTGCTCATTGTCTTAAAAGCCATGGCTACCATATCATGTGCAAGGATTTCTACGTCTCCTTGCCATGTGCAGGGGAGCTTAGTCATCACTGCTGCAGAAAGAGTGCCGACACACCTTCAACATGATGCAACCAAAACGTGTTCTAAAATGACACTGTGTAGTTGTAGGCTTTCGACAAGCATGTTTGTAACCCAGACGCCCAAAGTAGACTCATGACTCACATTTGATCGGGAAGCTCACCTCTTTGAGAGTGAAGACATCCTCCTGAGCTCCAGCTACACGCAAGATCTGCAGCAGCGGGGCTTTTGGTTTCACCTAAAGCATGGGGAGGAGGGGGAACAAAAACAAAAAGGATTGTTTAGCATCAAAATGAGCAATAACTAAAGCTTATGGTGTCTGGATTTTATGATATTACCTGATTACCCTCTCCAGGAAGCGTCCTGCATGACGAGCTTGAAGCCTGAGGCTGGGCCGACAGGGAGCTCATAGTAGAAAAACTAAACCTGAAATAGATTACATAGATTACCAATGCGCACATATAAATATATTGCGCCAAATACTATTTCTTGTTTGACAGAGTTATTATGATGTTTTTAAGTCCTACTTCTACACAGTCATGTAGATAGGGTCGTTTCACCAATTACTTTCCCTTTGGAGCCCGCAGGTGCGATAGCACAATGCTAACGTAACCAAGAAACCCGTTCGAAGAGTATATCTGAACATAACGTGACTACATTACTGAAATGCTACTGTAGACCAGACAAGGCAATGGCACTTGCTAAAGCAACTGGTGCATCTGCAACAGTTCCCATCAACCGCAGCTGCCACGCCAACATTGGCTAACGTAGGCGGCTAACAACAGACACAATAAATACCTTCGTTACAGATATCTCACCGTTTAGAGTTGGCATTACTTCTCAGCAGCTACATTGTTTCACTCGCACTCTGTTTCCGTGGCAACGAGTCTATATAATATAATAATAACAGGAAGTGAATGTAAAGAGATTTTAGCACGAGCTAATGCTAATAAATAAAAAAGTGACGGTTAGTAGAAGTGCAGCTTAAAACGTCTGTGAACTTCCGGGCATGTAAATGAGATGTAGCGCCCCCTGTTGTTCAAAGTAGGTGTTACTTTAAAAAAAAAGGTGGAAGTCTCTATGTATGGAAGCCAGTTCCCGACACTCTGGTGAAAAAAAAATCAAATAAATTATGTCATTATAATGAGATAGCATCTCTCTATAACGAGATACTATCTCATTATATCTCAATATACGATACGATCTCAAAATAATGAGATTATTTATTTATTCTTTCTTTTTAAAGAGTGGCGGAAACGGGCTTTCATCTCGCTTCATACAACCACTTTTTTTATCTCTAATTTATTTATTTTTTAATTATGCAATTAAAGTATGGGAGTGGGCATTGGTTCTTGTTTCAACCACAGTTTCATTAATTGCCCCCTCCTTCTTGCAACCTTTTCCTTCTACTACACAATGAATGACATAAGTCTCCTGCTTCTTATTTGTAAGCTTTTTTAAGCTGAAATCTTTATCTACTTGCATACTCAAATCACTATGAAAATATAAAATAAAAGTAGGCATAGTCACTAGGTCGAGGAAACATCACATTTTTTGTGTGCAAGGAAAAATTTCTTAAAGTTTTTAATATACTCTGTGTTTGTGTATGACTTCTACTATATGTCTGTCTTTTCTAGCTTTTTTCAGTACAATTAAACTGCAAGTTGTGATCTTGTGGTTATATGTACTGTTGAAAAAAAGTGTTTTTATTCTAGGTCTGACCTGAGAGTTGCAGTTATTTTAACAGAACCAAGTAAAAAAAAATTCTAAAACATTTGAACCCCTTCTTTGGATGTTTTATTAGTTGCGCCCTCCTCCCATACAGTTCTCCTTAAACACAAGCGATGCCTGTTGTTGCTTTGGGGAGCTCAGTGGGTGTGGGGAACCAAAACAAAAAGGGTCAGGAGCTGAAAGGAAACACAGCATTTCACACAAGAGTCTCTGGAAGATGAAGAGTCTGCAAGAAGGCATGGCTGCAAAAGGACTGATTGTGATGGTCCTGGTCACCAACATCTGTGAAGGAGGTGATATTAATGACATCGCAAGAGGAAAAGCATTTTGTCAACCATTGTCTGTGCAAAATGAATGCATTCCTGTCAAATATTTATCTGGCAGCACTCCTTGGGAAATCATCAGCGTATGACTTCCTGCAGAGAGTGAGAGAAAGGCGTGGACTGGAGTGTTTTCCTGGAGGATGCAGCACTGAAAACAGTGAGGCTGAGGAGCTGACAGACGTCAATGTGGGATATGTAAGTACATGCAAATTTCACAGCTGTGCATTACGCCGCTATCCTCTGAAACTAATTTTCTTTGACCATTGAAGCTAGAACACAGCAAACACATTACTACTTACAGCATAAATGTAAAAGCCATTCAAGGTTGTGATATAAGCAATTTACACATCTTGAGTCTGAAAAATAGTCAGCTGCATAGTGATAATTAGTGATGTGTTATAGTATCACAAAACATCAACAGATATGTCTAATTTGTCACCTTTAAGACGAACAATTTCAATGGCTCTCAGAGTTTCATCTAGCTCAGGTTTAAAAATTTTAACCTCAGAACTGAATTTTCAAATATTTTTAAAGGATTAAATGTCTTAGAATTTCGCTAAACTTAATTTTGCTAAATTTAAACACAAGTTTGAATGCAAGTAAGCATGCAATGTCAGCAGAGGAAGGTGTGCATGAAAATCAGGTTTCTTCACCAAGTGAGATTCAATCCTTATGAAACCAAACATTATGAACAAAGAGCACATCCAGAAAACGCACTGAAGAGCAGAGAAGCAGTCCTCTGTTTAAAGGGGATAAGATGTAACTCAGTCAAGCATGTCAGCGAGGCGTTTACCATTACCGTGTTCTGACATACCTGGCTTTGCAAAGTCATTAATGTTACTCTGTTGCTTAGTGAACCTGCTGCATATATCAGATGTCCCAAGTGAAAGCCTGCAGAAAGGTTGAATGTGTTTAAGAAGTGGCTTTGAGGGTCGAGTTGGCACCCTTATTGCTAGTATTTGTTTTGAAGCATTTCATAATAACCCTTAATGCAAATCCACAAATGTTTTCTTTTTTTAAACAACATGTAAGTAAATAAGAATCTTTCGATCAAACATTTATCACAGGAGGAGAATGGCAGCATCCTGTACCACGAAACTGTGGCCAGTAAAGAAATAAACTATGTAAGCTCTTAGAGTCTGACACTGAATAATTACGTCTTACTCAAAGGTTTGCTTCTGTATTTTCATTCTTATTTTATTTTATTTTATTTTTTTCAGAAACCTGCAACTGAAACTGTGTTGGATGAAGGATCTGGAAGCCAGGAGGGAAAACTAAACATAAGATAATGTTTGGTTTCTCAGAAGCATTTTCACACCAAGTTTAACCTTGCTTGCGTCTCAGCAAAGAAACAACAGAGAATGTTAGAAATACATTTTTGCAGTTCTGAATATGCATAAGCTTGTGCAAACTTTAAGGAAGTTTAAAGTTTAAACAGAACAGGAAGAAGAAAGAAAATGGAACAGATTTATATAAAAGGAGGAAGAAAGCATAATTAATCTGTTGTCACCAGTTCAATTTTTTAATGCGGGGTAAAAGATTTCAAATACTATAAGCAAATACTCAGTTTAGTGAGTAAATATGTATAACTTAGATCCTTGTGTTGACATATAATGGGTTATATTGTTGTAGTTGAATAGAGTACACACGCCACAAACACGTATACTTGTGTATGTGTGTATAACGTGTGTATAATTACTCTGTTATTAGGTCTATGTCTTCAATCTAATCTCACATATAACAGTCAAATAAAGTTTTTACAGACAATCAAATAAAGTTTTTTATATACTAATTCTGACTTATTTTGTTAATCTTTTTGCAGTAAAACATATGTTGTATATGAGGCTCACAAAACCATACCCTCACCCACAACAGCTATCCGTGAGGTCATTTCTATATTTAAGGTCACAGCACTAATAACCAAACTGAAACATTCTTTTACTAGTGCATTAAAAGACAGCTTAATTATTGCTATTATTGTTGTTGTTATTACTATTAGACATAATTGTAGTGTGTAGATGATAAAGGGCCTTTGAAAACAGAGTTGTTTTTGTTTCCATTTATCACATGCTGGTCACGGGTTTGTATAGCTCCTTTTCTTTGCATTTCTCTGCCATAGAGCCTAACAATATAAAAAATACTCAGATTATAATTTACACTATAGTGTTTTTATTTTGGGGGGGTAAACCTAATAGTTGGATTTACATTTGAGGTTTTATCTCTAATGTGACATTTAGGTACTCGTAGGCTCTTAAAGACCGGTAGAAAACAATTGTTTTCAAATGTTCACTCTAATCTCGTATTTTCGTTCTCAACGTAGTCAAAGAGAGTTGTTTAATTCAATACAACATCTACTGTTTACTAAACCTATTCTGAATAATTCACTCATAGAGTCAGTCCAAAATTTATACGACTATTCGGAATTAATTTATTTTGCCATGTAAACCGTGCCGGTGGTTTTTCTGCATATTAGAAACTTCAATGCAAATTCTGGTAAAGCAAAAATTAATATAAACGTCCCACTGGTTTTGATAATTCTCTTTTATTTAATTTATAACTGTATAAATCTCCCATTTCTGAAAGCCCCTGAAGGCACCAGATCGAAAGACAGTACTTGGTGTTACAGCGGCTGGCTACACACTTTACAAACAAGAAACAAAAGCGACAGAGTCGTTCAAAGGAAACCAGTTTCACAATGTAAGTATTTTATGCGTTTACTCAATATGTTTAAGATCATACTTTTCATAAAACGAGGGTTTATTGGATATAAGAGCAATACACGTCATACAAAAACAACGCCCAAAACTTTTCTGTATTAGCTTGCAACAAGTGCTAATACTTTAGCACCACTTCTCAAATGTAAATCAGCTAAGCTAAGCTAAGCTAAGTATAGCCGTAAAACATTGAAACATTTTAGCTGTGTTTCCTATAGACATTTTCTCCATTCCTTAGTGAAGCACTTTGACAACAAAAAGAAAATAAATTTTGGAAGTTCTTGTAACATCCACAGCTGTAAAATATAGCTATTAGCTGGGAAAGATTTGATAGTTTGGAGGCTAAGTAACCGTTTCCCTTAGTTGCAGCTTTCCTCCGTTGGTTGGCCTTTCTCCAAAACAGTTACGTGGATCTTTTTAAAAACAGTTTTCCAACATACTTATTGATTTTGTTCATACAAAGTTATTGTTTGATAACTTGTACTCTTTAATGGGACGTACATTTAGCTTTAATAAAAGGGAGATATTGATGAAAAATATTTTTGACCTGAACCAAGGAATATTTCAATGTGTTGTCAACAATAATTGTACGTAAGATAAGTTGTTACCCGGAGTGGCTAACTTACGTTTGCAGTTAATAGTTGTCAGTGTTTTTATGTCTGGAAAATAAAAATTCTTAACCCTTTCAGTTCACATTCTCTCGATGATAAATTTTTATTATTTCCATGTCCATGTTACTGAAGAAACTCAATCTATTCATAATTTCTTCCACTGAGGTCTTATGTTGACATGTCAGATTTTTTTCTTTGTATTTCTAAGCAACTGAATTATGGTGCACATTAGGATTGCATGCTCGATATATAATAAACTTGCTGGTCCTCCATTTTCTATTGGGTTAAGAAAAACTACTTCTAGCTGGGTTTTAGTCCCCATGAAATTAAAATTGGAATCTGCAGGTGAGACTTAAAAAAAATTGTCTGTTTGTTATCGTTCTGGAAAAGCTTGATCTCTATTGCTACCATCAGAGAAAGTGGATATTTTGTACATTACGAAGCAAATACGCTACAAAGTGTTGTTCTTTTATAATTTAACATATCCAAATTTTCAGTGCTATTTATGCAGGATGCAATGCTTGCTAACACCCTGAATTTGTGATTTATTTTCACTGTACACCCTGGTGCTATTGCTTTTTTAAAACCTCTTATCAACAGACTTACATATTCAAAATGCTGGTATCTTAAAAACATTTCCATTACATCACCAACATTTCATGCATGTTGAACTTTTAAAGTGGACTGATGTTCACACCCGATGTCTATATTTATAACTGTCCTCCTTAGCAAATCTATTCTCTCCAGAAATTATCAGGTTGATACAAAAACTACACAGTGCATTTAATAATGTGCATGCGTTTTCTTTTTTTATTTAATCATAGCGTAAATCCTCGTGTTTAACGGCTGAAGATAATTTCAGAAATATCTTATGAATCAAGGATGTTTTTTCTAATTCCACTTTCTGTCACACCGTTACTGAAATTTAGCAGAACTTCTCGTTCCCTCAAATTTCAGTTCCAGGTGATTGATATTAGATGCTGTACAATAATTTTACTATGAAGTAGTAAAGCAGTAAAATTGTTGCTCAAAGATTATCTTGATTGTTTACTTATAGTTTGAGTTATCCCATGGACAATAGGATAAATATTATATATTAGCTTGATGTTGTTAATGACATTATTTTAAAAAAGGAATAAACTGGTTGTAGCAGCTTTTGGGTGGTGTCATGTGGTTAAGGCGATTACAGTAAAAGGCATGTGTAAACAACATAGCATTCAAAAAGAATTGGCTTCCCTACTCCTCAGTTTTACATGCTCAACCTTTCTTCTTGGCATTTTTCATCCTTCCAGCCCCGATAGACTCACTAATGGAGCTAATGCAAGATTACTCATGAAACATTACATAAATGATGCATGTTGCTGGAGATGTTCAACGTAGTCCCTCCAACTTTATATCAACAGTTAAGGACTTGAAGGTTAACAGGCAAACCTTTGTGATGTTGCTGGTGTATAAGTAATTATCAAATCTGGTCAGGTGTAAAGAAAGACAAGTACCGAGATCAAAATAGGTGAGATTTGCTTAGCTTCCTTTGGGATATGTAAAGCATTTGTTTTGTTTTGCAATATTTTAAAAATGAAAAATCCTGATTACTAAATATAATTATCTAAAATTTTAAAATGATGACTTTCACCTACGGATGCATGCTATATCGGCATTAACACCAGTACCAGTTGATGTCAGTCATTATTAGTAACCAATGTTTACTCTCACCTTGTTACTCTTTGTGTTTGAAGAGGTAAAGCAGGTTGGCCATTTGGCATTTGTTTGGGCATGTTATAGTGGTGCAGTACAGGATTTTTGGTGTTTTAACTAAGCAGAGAAGCAACATTGTTTAGTCATCGGTTGTAACAGCAACATTAATATCGGCTATGAATATTGGCACAAATTCTCACATCTGTGGGCCACACTTTCAACATCTTCCTATGCTAACGTTCCGTGCGTCATTGTGCCTTTTACTCAACAGACAGAGAACTGAGATGCAGAACTGAGATGGAGATCCGAATTAGGCCACAGCTCCACCTTAGATTTTGGTTAGGAAGGCCATCATAGACAACAATGGCTGCAAAATACAGAAGTCTTGCTGTTGGGGGAGGGAAAAAAAACAAGGCCATAGTATTAAATCTCCACCACCATAGTTGAACACAAGATATTTGACTTCATCTGCTTTTTTTCCAGTTGAAGAGATGCTAATTATATCATAATGATTTTGCTTCATGTATTCTACATACTGACAGATGCTCTTTTGGCAGGATAAACAATGGGTTCTTACTTGTTTTAATCATTTAAAAGTTAGTAGGTGATTTGGTTTATTGAATGCAAGTAATATGCTGTACATTCTTTTCAGACATTTTGTTTTTGTTTCCAGATTAGTTTTGTTCTGAACCCATTTTGTAATTATCACAAAACATTTTTGGCGCAAAGGGCCAGTCAGTTTTCTGTCGCCACACAGGTTACCTGGTAAACTGCATATTGAGTCTTGTGAGTCGATGTATATCCTTAACTAAATGTTTCAATTATGCATAGACTGTATTCAGATCTCCATAAGGATAGTCCCGTGGTGGTGTTGTCACTTCACTGTAATTATGTGTCTTGTCAAAAGGCGGCAGTATACTACCGCTGTGCAAAGGCTTTTAGGGCAAGGAAGCACAATACTAGAAACCTGCATACTGTAGTGTACAGTTTAAAAAGAATAAATTACTGTTTTTAGTTTAAGTTTTAAATGCTATCAAGGTAGTGCAACTTTTTGTTGTATTTAGATATAGTAACATTTACATAAGAGTATTAAGCCAGAATTTTGCTACAAGCTTGGGGTAAAAATTCATTCTCAAAACATTTTAAAATCTAGTATATTCTAAAGAAAACTGTCATTTACATAATTATCTTCATTATTTTTATTTTGAATTTGTCTTCTCAGCACTGGGTAAATATGTTTACCCAAATATTATGTAATATACCTGTGTCCTTTTTTGTTGTTGTTTACATCATCAACGTATCTACTATGTTATTGCATCTTGATCACCAAAATCTATATAAAGTTTGTACATCAGTAATAATTAGTCCAACTGGTTAAATCCAAAGGCATGCATATTGTGAATGCCTAATACATTACAAGGTTTCCCCCAGAGAATTTGCTAAGCCCGGTGGTCGGGGTGACGAGACGGTCCACCGGTGGTCCACCGTGTTTTTGTATTAAAAGATGTTAAGGTGACAGGAAATGTGAAAGTATTACTGTGTAATTATATGTTACGGGAAAAGATCTCCAGTGAAACGCTATTTAAACCCGCAACTAGTCTAAAAACAACAAATTTGCACTTCTGTTTAATCCAAATTAAGTCAGCAGCTCCGTCAGGCCCCCATAAACGCTAATATTTTAAAACAGACCACAGATACATAAATGTAACACTGGTTTATTGAGATGATCAATGCTGTTAAATTTGATTCAATTGTTTAGGCATACATAAATTAAATGATTTTAAATTGTTTAATATTTAAGTACAAGATTTTAAGGAGCTGGCAAGTTTACTTTGTAAAACTTCAAAGAACAATATTCATAGTCCCCTAACCCTAGTTAGATTTTTTTGTTACCATAGCAACAATCTGATGCTGTGAGTTTAATCTTTGAATTTGCAAATATAAATTGGTAAACTGTGATTATAAATTATTGCTTTTTAGGCTGGCCAATTAAACTACTCCCTTCTCCCATATTTCACTAAATCTAACACAGAAGCTGTTAGAGGTGCTGATGTTTTTAGCAACAAAAGGGGCCCCTAAGTCAGATTCTGCTCCAGGCCTCATTCACCCTTGGACCGGCCCTGCATGATGAGGTAATCTGCTGCATTATGCAGAAATGCGCAACAAACGGGAGATTTAATTCAATGCTGCTAATGTGGCTTTAGTATCTCTTCCATTTCGTGTCTGCTGAGTTTTTAATAAGCGTCACAGAAACTATTCTGGTTGGTCGAGTTTATGGGACGAGTTTCTCAGATCTCCTGCGGCCGCGCGTATTAACTCTAAGTAGACAATGCATTTGATATGGTTTGATGCATCGTGTAACCGTAAAAATAATAATAAAATAATATAAAATCAGTGTGATGCGTGACTCCGAGGAGAGCGTTAAAGCTCCTCACCAGGTTGAACCTGCATGATCAGGTTAGCGCTGCTCGTTATCCACAAACGCTCCGGCCAACCGGGACCACAGACATGAACTTTACAGGGAAGACAGACACAGAGCCACACGCTGGGCAGCGTGTTGAGATGGAAACGCCACATAT